TTGCTTCTATTTTGCTTAAAAGTTTTAAATTTATGTTCATTGAGTGAGCTTATCCTATATCAAAAAAAATGTTACTCAGGTTTCGTTTGTAGCCGAAGAATATTTTTTAATCTCTAATGATCATACCCTGGTTTAGTCCAAGCTGCTTTTGGTCATACAGAACTTTCAAAAAATTAATTTTGTCATTATCTATTTGATTCCAGTAAGAATCTTATATTTATGTATTGAAATCATATTGTGAGCTAGTCTGGCCATGACCATGTTGCTCATGACGGCAAGATGACCCAGAAGACTAGGACCATCTTGCTGAGGTCAGTGCTGGTTGGACTGATGTTTATCTAACTCATTCAGCTGCATCATTGCACCCAGACCTTTCTCCTTCAACAACAAACAGGTTTAGGGCAGTATTGAGAACCTCCTTCTCTAGCTAAAACGGGAGGCTTTATGCACTGGTCAAGGTGTACTGGGAACTGGAGGCCCTTAAAGTTGTCAAACCTTTCAGCCCTTATGTACCCTGGACACATGTCAGTGTGGTTCCTAGAATTCCTCAATGGGTAGAGTCAAAAATTTACTTGAATGTAAAAATGAGTCTCAGATTGAATTATAAAAAAACATAAAAATAAATTTATGTTTATAAAATTTGTTTTTATATAATAACATATATATACATGTATAAAACACTAAAATGTCTAATTATATTTGTAAGAACTATTAAAATCAGCATGATTTTGGAAGAGAAAACAGACGGTTTCAAAGATATTCAGAGCTGAAAATTCAGCAATTCAATTGAGAATTAGAAAATTAGTTCTGATTTTCCTAAAATAAACAGGTTCATTAAATCTAACTATTTAGGAAGAATTTGAAAGACACGTGGTGATTTATTTTAACTCAAGATACAAACATAATACCTGGGAATCTCAGGGGACAATACTGTTTTATACACTGAGCTCAAGTATGGGGCATTTTTCATTGAAAAGAAGTTTATATTAGAAGGTCTCAACTGTGCTACCACACACAGTGCCTGCCTCCTTCCTGTCTGTGGTTCATGGGTTTTCCCGAAGTGTCTGAGCAGGTGGCTGCCTTTATGATTTTCCCGAAGTGTCTGAGCAGGTGGCTGCCTTTATGAAACTGAAGGTTTTTGTTAACCTTCCACTATCATTTTTATTACTGTGGACATTAACGACTCATTGTTTGGGTATGCCGAAGAGCACAGAAGTACTTCGCTGAGTCTGCCAGTTGCAAGGAAGAGATGGTGAGGCTGATGATTGTTTTTGTCTTTTGAAAGTTCACAGAGTACCGATCCCGCTTTGCATTTGTTCTAGAAGAGACCTGATAAATAAGGAAGACCATCTCTCCACTGGGAGGCTGTTTGTACCAGTATAAATGATAATAACTCAATGTGGTTTCATAGGTGCAGTCCATTGTCACAGCTTCTCCTTCCCGCCGTGTCACTGTAGTCTGTGCTTGGGTTACTCTCTCGGTCATGCTGAATCCTATTAAAAAAGAAAACAGTTTTGATCTTCTAAAATGTCTCAGACGGGTCATGAGGAATGGAATAATTTAAGACACAAGAACAAAGAAAAGAATCACACAGTGTTTCATTTCCCCTCCCCTCTTCCCTCTTAAAATCCTTCTTAGTTATAACTTGCCTAGTCCCATCCTTAAGCTCTAAGAGGAAGCTGAGGTCCCATGTTTAAGGCCACACTTACTGAAGCTAAAGGAGACCATGAGTGCCCACAGCAGGCCAGGACAGAGCATGATAGAAAGTCTTCTAGGTGAAATTTGTCTTGTTCTCACTTTAGCTCAGAGACTAGCCCTTCTCTGAGTGCCTGAGTGCAGAGTTCTTGGGGTTGTCAGGTGCCTCGTTCCTAGGCAGGAAGTAAAGATCATAGATAAAATGTTACACTGCTCTAGTCAAAGACTGAATGAAACATCTGCCCCACCACAGACTTTAGCACTGCTTTGATATTTTTCTGTAGCAATGCATTTGAAAAATGTCTATGATATCTAGCAAGGTACAAGAATAATTTTAATTACTTTTTTGTTATTGAATTCTCTCACTTGATACCATTTTGATAGGAGACTATATTCTGAATGATATAAATTTTTTTGAAATTTATAAAGTTTTTTAAATTAATTAAGTCTTCTAATCCAGAAGATAATCAACTTTGATAAATGTTCCAAGTGCGTTTGAACAGAATATGTATTCCGTTGTTTCGGGGTAAAATGTTTTACATATATAAATTAGATAAAGAATTATAATTTTCTTGGTCATAGTTTCTTTAAGTTTCTACTAAGACATGTGTATTATTACCTATCACTATGATTGCCTATTTGTTTATTGTTTTTAAAATAAATCAACAAATTCTACTGCTTAATTTCACTAATTCTTCTCTTTTACTTTTGATATTTCTTGAAGCTATGTTATGAAGTACATAAAAGATAGAATTGTTTCAGCTTTCTGGTAGATTTTGAACTTAATCATTTTGAAGCGTTGTCCTGTATCCACATTTGAAAGAATCTCTGTTAGAAGGACAAGGTCTTT